AAGCATGCCTTCAAATATGTAGGAAGTCATCATGTTTAACTCTGTTCTCCGTAGAGGTGTGTCAGCTTCTGTTCTATTACATAGTGATTTATTGAAATATACATTAAGACCAAAAGTACCTGAACATTTGCATGCAACTGTATCATTTGGTTTTATTCCCATTGCAGCTTTTGATACTTACGTGGAGACATTTACTAGGCCTAATATAATTTACTTGAAAATCCTGAGTTCAGAAGAGAAAGGTTTTAGATTTTATATTATAGGAATATGCATCCTATTGACATTCTCTGTATCTCAAGGAACATGATTTCTATAACCCGTAGAGCACAAGAATGGATCATCTGGATCTCATGAGCACTGATGGACTCATTGGTGTCATCCTTGAGGCCAGCCAGATTCCCTTCCCTCACCTGTTTAATTTTTTAATGTTCTAGGTTGTTCTTTTTTTTAAAAGAAAAGCTGCCACCAGTTTCTTCTTTATGCACATCAGAAGAGAAAGGTTTTAGATTTTATATTATAGGAATATGCATCCTATTGACATTCTCTGTATCTCAAGGAACATGATTTCTATAACCCGTAGAGCACAAGAATGGATCATCTGGATCTCATGAGCACTGATGGACTCATTGGTGTCATCCTTGAGGCCAGCCAGATTCCCTTCCCTCACCTGTTTAATTTTTTAATGTTCTAGGTTGTTCTTTTTTTTAAAAGAAAAGCTGCCACCAGTTTCTTCTTTATGCACAGGACTAACCCTGTACTCCACAAAGGCCACACAGGTGTTCTTAAAATAAGTAGGATTGTGGGCGACTTCAGCCCATTCCTCTGCTCTATAATATGCTTATTTACCTAGTCAAAACAACAAAAGTAATCTGGAACAGTGAGGACCATCTTCAATAGCTAAAGCTGGGGGGGAGGGGAGCAGCCTTCTAGTAACCTTTGTTTGGCCACATCATACGGTTAGCATAACTGGCCAGCCAATATCTGGACCATCACATTGACAGCAGAGAATATTCTTCCAATAGAAGAGAATATATGTAGCTCAGGTTTGAACTGTGGAGTCCTTGGTGCTGTCTGAGCTTGGTTGTTTGCTTGCAGACATTTCATTATCATCAGTGAGAGTCTGATGATGTTACTCATGATGATGACTCACACTGATGATGTTACCTAGTTGGGTAATGAAATGTCTGCAAGCAAACAACCAAGCTCAGGGAGCACCAAGGACTCCACAGAGAGTATTCTATATCACTTTGTTGCTACCTTGTAAAAGTTTAACAGCCCAAATATGGTAGCTTGATTTCTTTTATTACTTTAATATATAGAAAAAAATGGTGAAAAAGATACAAAAAAGAAGAAATAAAAAGAAAAAACGTGAAAACACTTTATAATATATATGAAAAGAGCTTAGTTTTTAAAACAGCATTAAATCTTGACCATACAGAATATTATTGATTAGTCTTCCCATTACATTGATCAAGAACTACCTCAAAAAATAGAGAGTAAATACATCCATCCATCCCAAATTGTAAATCCAGGATGGAATTGTCTTTTCATCATAAAAGAGTAACCTTTTTTAATATGCTCCATCTCAGAAAATCCATATTTCTTCATATAGTGATAAATTCCCAGTTTTTATACAGATGTGCATACCCATCACTCTACTCTCTTTCAGGATAAGTAACATTATACAAATTACTGTACATAAACAGAATAATAACCAAAGAAATTAAAGACATGGGAAAGAAAAGGACAGCTAACTAAATCTAGTTTGCACTAACACCATTCAATATACCTTTTTGTATCTTTCTGTTCTTGCAATTCATCTTGCTTCCAACACATACCTGCACCACTTTATAACTGGTTTTTGTCCTTTAACTTTTTTGCCTCTCTCTTTTTGGAGATTTCCTCAACTCCCTCCAACCACAGCCTCATTCATTTTTCTCTTTCCTTCACTTTATTCTTCCATCATATAATTCCTTTGTGTTTCAGTCCTCATTCTTTCTCCTTATATGACCAAACCATCTCAAGGTACTTACTGTATTTTGTACTGGGTCAACATTCATTCATCACCCCTTCATTCTTGACCCTACCTCTTCTTGTTTTATCACACACAGTTAAGTACCCAATTCCCACTGCAGTTAACTTAATGTTTCTCTTGACAGAGCCCAAATCTCAATTTCATGTAACAAATCACTTAGGAATGAGATACTAAAAAAATAATCAAATGGGGAACAAGTCTGATGTGAAGCTGAATACACAGAGACACACACCCCACGCTGTGAAGGATTAATTGATGTACGGCCATCAAATTAAACTCCAGAATATCAGCCTATAACACTTTCCATGTACAGGAATTAAACTTAGCTGGAACAGTATTAATATATAAAAAGGATCTAAACTTGATTAAAGTTTCTAGCCATAATTATCTGATGCACAGATAAATTAAAAACATATTCAAAACACTTATGGAAAACATCAGGAGAGGGTTTAGTAGAACCATAATAATAAATGCAATAGAGTTAATAAAATATTTAATCACAAGTATTAAAAATATCCTTCTGGCTCAGTTATTTCTCATTCCATTGCAAATGTTGTAGACTTGTTAATCTAAAATATTCTATCCCTAGCAGATTTTGAATTTCCACTCACATATACTTGATATATACTTGTTCTTTTAGAATAAAGATCTTTCTCATGTAGGAAACATATAAGCTCCTTGTAAAACAAACTAACATCAATTTTTAAATTGCCTAATTTAGTAAGCATCTGTGTTCACCTAGAAGGATATCTAAGGCCTTTTACATTCTAAAGATGACATAAATGGAAAAAACCCTGCATATTAACAACCCAATATTTCAAGAATAAAAAAGGAAAAAGAATGTTCATTTAACGGAACAAACTTTTTAAAAACCAAAAAAATTGAAAAGCAACAGATTAAAAAAAAATTAACAAGGAAATAAAAGGCTTTAAAAGAAACAAAGGAAAAATGGAAAACAGAAGTTAAAAATGGAAAAAGAAAAAAAGAAAAAGAAAACTACTACTACTGGTGACTTCTGGCTGAGTTACATTGAAAATACAGCAGAACATATTCCCCCCGCCCCCCCCCCAGTCATGGAGGAGTCCTGTCTCTCTCTAAAAAATATGAACTAAAATTAAATTCTGGAAAAGACTGCTGCTACTTTGCTTCAGGTGATCCCAGAACAAAAAACTTTTCTATACCTTCTAGCTCAAAAAGTTTATTTGGACTAATTATTTAAATTCTAATGCTGGAGTCTGGAAGAGTTCTTCATCAAGGGAGGGAGGGTATATGCAAAATCAAATCCAGTGATGGGTAAGCTGGTTTCCTTCCAAAAGTTTTGGATTTTGATTCAAACTAGACTCAACCAGCATGGCCAATGCAAGTGATTGTAAATTATAATCCAAAAAATCTGGGAAGTGTCAGATATGATGAACCTGCTGCTTTCATATTGCTTTTCCAGCCAAATCAAGGGAACTTAAACAGGCTTAATTCTGGCTAAAGTTACTCTAGGAGGCCCTGGCAACTGCAACCCAGGCCCTGGTCCTCTCCCAATTAGATTACTACAATACACTCTACACAGAGCTACTTTTGAAAACTACTTTGAAACTGCAGCTGGCCCAAAATGCATCAGCTTGCGTACTGGTGGATGAGATCCACTGTTCACATATTAACACCAACCCTTTACCAGAACACTTCCAGGTACAATTCAAAGTGCCAGTATAAGAATGACTTTAACCTTTAAAGCCCTACATAGCTTGGCATTGGGGTGCCTATAGGACCATTGACTTCAAGCAGCTCCTATCAATCTAGTCATGTATGGATGCTTAAGGTTCCTCCCCCATGTGAGACCCAGGAGAAATGCCTGGTTTTTAATCAATGAACCACCTCCCACCAAAAATTCAGATGGCTCTATCACTACTGATCTTTAAAAAAGCCTTAAAAACAATGTGGTTGAGAAGGGCATTTATTTAAGACCTGTCATCAATATGTTTATACTTTTTTTGGGTGATACAGTTTGACAGTTTTAAACATTATTATTATTTTTTGTTGTATTTCTATATTACTGTTACCTTTATTTTGATTTATTGTACACTGCCATGAGACTGGAGGCGTGGGTATGGGTGTAAATAAATACATAAATACTTGACTGGCAGTGATGCTGTCATAAAAATATGGAAAACCACCTTGTTTCATATATCAAACATCTGACTTCTTGCCTCTGGAGGTTCAAGCAATCCCCTTCCTCTTGGTACTTTGCACAGCTGTTAAAACAATACTATTCCACTGGGCTTTTGCCAAGGATTAAATGTTTCTGGTGGCCATCTAGAGGATTACTTATATGTCTTTCTTTTTACTTTTATTCTGTATTTTTATTCTGCTGTCCACCCAGAGATTGGGATGGCTTAGCAAAATGGTGAAACAAACAAAAACCTGCCCAATTTTTTCAACTCTTTTACTTGTAACACTGAGCACAAGGTTGATTATCCAGGGCTGTTTGAACTTTCACCTGACA